ACTGATACCTATTGTTTGTTTGTTGGCTGGTTGGGATGTTGGTGGTTTTTTTTGGTTTTTTTTTTTTGGCTGTTCCTCTCCCATGGTAAATAGTCCACCTGCCTAAATCTCTCGGGCTGTCTCCCCACATGGTTTTTCCTTCATGATAACAAAAATGAACAAACAGTAAAAGTATAAACCACAAAGGAAAGCAACAAACAGACCTTACAACACATATGTTGTTTTATAACAGGAAATTCAACACCTACATCAGTGAAGGGTTGAATCCTCCCATCTCGTCTTTGTATTGTTTTCCATACACTTGGCAGACAGCTTGCTGCTCGGAAAGAATGCTTATAATTATTAAGATTGCTCAAAAGAAAATCAAGTGCAATTATGGTTTGGTTTTCTTTTTACCAAGAAAAGTGAGTTGTTCCCTTTGTGTTTGCTCACAATGACGGTTAGTTCCGAACTTTGATACTTGCAACCTCCATTGGTTTGATAGTTTTTTGTTTCTGACAGGTAGAAATTTAAGTTAAAAACTTGGGAAGAGATAAATATGCAGAAATTGTTTCTACCTTAATGATTGCATAGAATATTTATTAACTCACTGAGCATTCATGTGGGACAAAAACAGGTTTTCCTCCTGAGTTGCTTCGGCGTGTCTTAAGTTCTGTCGTATTTCTTGCAGTTCCTCATTTAGCTTCTTCAGCTTTGTGTCTTGTTTCTTGTTTTGCATGTATAGCATGCGTAGAGTTACATCAGATGGTGCACTGGACCCCTAAATCAGACATTTGGAAATACATATGCACAGCAGGATAAGTTTTTATCACAACATTTAGCATACTGACTCATCATCGGAACAGGTTTTGCATCTGCTGTTTTCCAGTCTCCCTTTATTCACACTTGAGCTTACTTCTGTTACATCAGTTTATATCACTGCTTAAAATGATAAACTAGAACTTTATATTATTTTCTAAAGGTCTTGCGAGATACGGAGGGTTGCCAACCACTGAAGAACCACCAACACATCCAAAGTGTTGTGTGTTCTTCCCTTTTCAATGAAATGCAATGGTAGA